GTCTCTCAGCCTAGTTTTTGCGGTGTGTCCCGCACCATCGGCACTTCCGCGTTGGAGGCTTTTTGGCCGATTGGGCATGTTGAATCGGTGACAGAACTAGTCAGTGAAAGAGATCTGATTGGCTGTTCAGCTTAGCGAATCAGTGCACAAGAAGAAAAAAGGAAATGACGAAAGAAAGCAAACGACAAAGTCAATAGGGCTGTTGAATCAGCGGCGGGGCTTGTCGGTGAGAGATCACTCTGATTGGCTGTTCAGGTGAGAGTGATCACTCTTATTGGCTGTTCAGCTTAGCGAATCAGTGCACAAGAAGAGAAACGGAAGTGACGAAAGAAAACAAATGATACAGTACAGAGGGCACACACAGAAGGCTTATTTTTGAACTGCATTTCATCTGAACTTTCGTGAATATTTTCACAATGCCATGGCCGTCTGGAACGACGACACTGAAGACCAGCTGATCACAATGATTCAGGAGAGGCCAGCTCTGTACAACATCACAGCAAAATGCTATGCCAATTGAGTGGTGAGAAGAGAGCTCTGGAGTGAGGTTGAAAATAAGCTTATTATATAGGGTAAGATTTTCTTTCTGACCATTGAGCTCTTTAGCAGGAACTGTTCATTATTGTTTGTTAGCTCACGCACAATGAATAAGTTCTTTCTTTTTGTTTGTCAGAAAAAGAGCTCAGGAAGAGGTGGGAATCTCTGCAAACCCAGTATACCTGGTACAAGAAACTTGCACCCTCTGAGAGTGTTGGAGCACAGAAGACTGGCAGGCAGCAGTGGATACTGACCCAGCTGCAGTTTTTGGAGCCCTACACAAAAAGGAAGGAAACCTCCTCCAACCTAACTATCATGGTAACTGAACCCTTTTATTTGTTGAGTAAAAAGAAAACACTGTTTCTTTCTTCTGTCATTTCAACAGAGAGCCGGGGATAGCTGGGAAGCTAGTGGAGACTAACTTGCTGTGTTTCCCTCCAGTCGTGCTGTGGCTAGCGGAGGCTAACTTGCTGTGTTTCCCTCCGGTCGTGCTGCGGCTAGCGGAGGCTAACTTGCTGTGTTTCCCTCCGGTCGTACTGTGGCTAACGCCCCGCTAGCCTCACAGCTAGCTGTGAGTTAGCTAGTTGTTTGTATCCAACCGGAGCACCGAGCCCCGGTTGTTATTTAGATTAAAGTGGGAAGAAGCAGCGGGCAGCTGTGTGAAGTGGAGCCTGCGGGGGAAACACCTGTATGCATAATAAGAGTCAAAAAGTAATCGTGTTAAATTATGGTGATCTCAATATTGACCAAAAAAATCGTGATTATGATTTTTGGCATAATCGAGCAGCCCTAGTTTGAACCCTTCTTTTCACATGTATCCTTTCATACATTAACTTGGTTTCACTCTCCCATTATCTTCTAGAATTGTGAATTTATTTTTTGTTTTTATAAGGAACCTTCAGCTGATGCTGATTCTGAGACACCCTCAGACTGTACCAGCACCTCAGAGGAGCCCTGCTTCTTTGCTGAACACAGACCCAGCACTCCCCTAGCAGAATCCACTATCTGTGGAGCAGAGTCCACACTTACACCCACCAGAGAGGACCCACTGCCAAGCACCTCCAGCCAGTCAAGCACTCCGAGGCCTCGGGTGAAGCGCAGCAGGAACATGCTGGACGAGTCCATCAGTGAAGAGTCATCTCACTTGATGCACACCATTGGTCAAACCCTGGAGAAGTTAGCTTCTCAGGAAGAGAGCAATGATGCCATCCATGCCTACTGCAAGAACACTGAGCACAGAATGCGGAACTTGCCCCCACATTTACTGCCATATTTCCAGCACGATGTGGACAACTGCCTCTTCAAGTATTCAGTGGACCAGAAACTGGCATCAGAAACCTCTGACAGACAGTTTAGCAATCTGTTATGTTGGATGTGGAAGTTGTAACAGATGTAAATAGTTCCATTTGATGCTGTGCTATGCAGTTGACTGTTACATTTATAAGCATTTCATTGTCCTGCACATTTGGTAATAAAACACTTTGACTTTGAGAGAGTGTACTTTCAACACATTGAACTCCAGACAAGAATGTATCATGCAAAATAACTTTATTGTGTATTTTTAGACTAAAGCCATAGACCTGAAACACATAGCCAAGTTGTTTTCTTGTCAGACACTACAATATCATACAATCAATAGGCATACACATTTCCTATATTTTGCCCCACTGAAAAGGCACTGCACCGATATCAGACATGAAGTAATGGCATAGTTCATCCCTGTGCTGCTTGGCTTGTGTTGTAGCATTGGTTGTGTGTGGCAGGCAAGCCTGCTGTTGGTCAGGGTCATGTCTCCATCTTCCTGGGACAGTGTCATGATTTGGTCCTTCCTGGTCAACGATCCCTGCCATGTATTGGTCACAGCTCTTGGTCCGCAGGAAGTTGTGCAGAGCACAGCAAGCCAAAACAATGTCCTCCACTTTGGCAGTGTCTTGAATGTTAATGGTGGTTAGAAAGACCCAAAAACGATTGGCTAGGATTACAAAAGTGTTTTCTACCACCCTCCGAGCTCGTGACAGTCTGTAATTGAAGATGCATTGCTCTACAGATAGCCTGCGGTTCGGATATGGCTTCATGAGGTACTCCTTCAAGGGAAATGCCTCATCTGCCACAATGCAATAAGGAGCCAGCTGATCAGAAGCAGGAGGTGATGCAGGGGCAGGGATGTTGGATGTTCTCTTCTCCAGAGCATCCTGCAGTGAGCATCCACCACACACTCAGCCATCAGAAATCCGCCCATTGCAACCAACATCTACATGTCTACATGTACATGTACATCTACATACATATTTACATTTCCACAGTCAAGATCATTCACTTGTGTCTACGCCCGTTCAAAAACCGGCCTACACACCCTGTGTCTGACTTTACGAATTTGAACATACAAAGAAAGCTCTGAAAACCAGTTGTGTATGTATTGTCATAGATTAAATACTTTCAGCATTTCAAGTACTGCTACTGAAAGGACTTGAATACCACCATTCCATGCACTGACGTCACACAATACTGTCTGGTACTGTCAGGGCTTGGAGTACCACAAAAAGAATTATTTATTCATCCAGAACTATTCATATCTGGTGTAAATAGATGAAACACATTTTGAAATTTTAAATCATCAACTACATTATATTTGTAGTAGTAATAAGTAAGTATTTTTCTATTTGTGAAGTGCAGCATCCTTATATAAAGTGCAAGGTGCATATATTATTTTGACAATCATTCTCACCCAATTTCAGGGATTTTATTTACTTCAATGTTTTTATATCAGGGAAATGTCCATTCTGGAAAATTTGCAAGTTGTATGAGACAAACATAAATCAGACAAACTGANAATATAAAACATGTTTTCAGTTATTTCACCTTTTTTTGTTAAGTACATAACTCCACATGTGTTCATTCATAGTTTTGATGCCTTCAGTGAGAATCTACAATGTAAGTAGTCATGAAAATAAAGAAAACGCATTGAATGAGAAGGTGTGTCCAAACTTTTGGCCTGTACTGTATATATAGCCTATATACTGTTAATATAGTGACACCTTTAGCTTGCATACCTGTTGCCAAGAAGCGCAGTGTAATCATCAGCCGCTCCCCAACGGAGATACAATCCCGGTAGTTAGTGTTCTGCCTCTGGATGATCGGACTGACAAGTTCCTTCAACACGTGAAACTGGACAGGAAAGAGCTGAGCGAAATTTTTAAAATCTGAGGTTTCATTTGTCTCCAGCTCTCGACACAGGTTCGGGAAAGCCCTTGAGCCTGTCGCTGCAGTATCCATGATTTCACCCATTTCGTGCGGTTTCTCCTTATTTTTCCTCTCCATGTCTTCCTCTCTTCTTCCACAAGCAAAAGACCAAGGGCTGACAATGCCAGTGCCATTTGCAACTAATCAGACATTTTATCAGCTACACGAAACCGTCTGTGGCGAGCGAGAGTGGCGTGAAAATGCTAAGCAACCGCTAGCTTCTTTGTTTATATTTCATGCATTCGTCAGACTTCTGGTTTCCAAAGTTATTTCCTCTCAAGCAAGTGCAGAACTGGCCGTTGGCCGGTTGGCCGTCAGATGTAGTCTGTGCAGTGTGTTCAAATGTACTGACACAGGGTGACGTGAGGCGACGTAGACGACGGAACAGTCGGCTTCATCGCCGCTAGTTCTTTTGTCGTAGGCTTGGTGTGTCAGTGCCATAAGGCCTGGCCACCATACGCTCTTCCCCCAGGTCTGGCTCCAGGAGGGGGCCCCAGTGTCCCCATACCGGGCGAGGTGCTCATCCCCGGACAACACAGCTCCCAGGTTCACAGGGACATGCAAACCCCCCCACCACGTTAAGGTGCCGATTCTCTGTGGTTGTTACAATATTATTTCATTAGGCCTTCACTTAAATAACAACAGACTGTTTTTAAGTGTTCTAGTTTGCCATCAAAAGGTTCCCAGTTTGGCAGTAGTGCCTGGAAAAATATGGTTTTGGGTCGATGTGTGTTTCAGGAAAAGTCATCCTACCTGACTTTCATTTCTCTATCTTTTTTTCTTCTTCTGTATAGTACAGAAGCGCTCTTACACTTTTTAGAATAGCATCATATAAAGGGCTAAGACATTTGGATCATAACTAAATATGACACAGAGGTAAATAATCAGAAAGTGTCCCACTCTACTGGTAGTCACCCAAAGCGAATGTTGTTATAAGCTGCTTGTTAATGAAGTACTAGGATATGCATGGGTTGTTGTGAGTGAGAAATTTAAGTTTATACCAAGTGTGATATTGTCACAAGCTGAGAAAACTTTTAATTGGATTTATATCTTAACTCAGACACACAAAAGGCCACAAACTTGGGATAAATGACCCTGTTCAAAAGGAGTTAATTTATACTCCAGCCTCAGTAAGAGTGCACATATCTAAGCAACACTTCAAGCTACAGTCACACTTAACAAAAGCAAACAGCAAGCTCTGTAACTCACACTCACACTCTTACCCCAATGGCTGTCAGGATGGGTACCTGGTAGATCCATTTAATGTTACCAGCACTGAACTCCCAACACCTGCAGTTGACACAAAAAAGGGTAAGAGGAGGATATGAGCTAAGAGAAGAAGGAAAAATCAGAAGCACAGCAAAGAAGAATGTGGATAGTGTTATTCAAAAGACACAAGGTGTAGAGAAAGTTGAGAAAAAATTGGCAAACAGGTGACAGAGAAGACATTGAGAACAGCAGAGAAGACGGTAATGTGGAAAAACAGTTGTAAACAGTGTCAGAAATAAGGGGAAAATAAAGATGCAGGAGGTGTGACCTCATTTACATACTGCTTATGAAGACAAATCTTAATGCAAATGGAAAAAGACAGAAATAGAATACACTGCATGTTTTGCAGTTCAGTGTCCATTTCAATTTCTCAAGACGTTTTCAGTTTCCATTTTCCTCTGATATTTGTGGTCTTACATATTTTCAAATGACCTTTTTTGTTATTTGAATCATATCATATTTGAATCACTATTTTTTGTTCATTATTGATATCACATCTTTACTCACTTTCAGTTTCTATCCTTAAATGAACCTTTTCCATACAGCATAGTGTTTCCATTTTTCATTTCAGGTTTTCAATTTCATTTCAATTTAGTGACTTCACATTTGATAAGTGCTTTGTTAAATTGAAACTTCAAAGGAAAATGTACACACATTGCTGCCCACATTCGAGGGGATTATGCAAACGTGATTATGCAGTTCTGTCTCAAACGTTGAGCAGACTTAAAGCCTGCTGGAGTGTGTACTTTGCATGTTACGCAAACATGATTTAAAGAAACACATTTCTAAAGTAATGTGGGTGAAATGGCATGAAAGTAGAGCTGAAGTGCATTTTGCTGGACTTCCTAAATTTTTATGGTATTATTGCAGAATTGGTGAAACTATGTCAGCTTTAAACTTCACCAATTCACCTATCTAATTGTCAAATGTGATATATCAAACATGTAATAACAAAACAAAAGGTGTAATACGTTAATTCAGTACAGCAGAAAGCTGACTTTAAGTCAAGCTGTGTCTCTACCGAAAGCAAAGAAAAATAGAAACCCTGGACAATGAAATGCAATCCAATACATCAGCACCAACTATGGCCGCAACAATTACCACAAAGATTGTTCGACTCCTCTTTCACACAATGTCAGACAGTCAGCGCAGGACAATGTTAACAGACTTTCCATTTTTCAGATCACTGAGAAAAAAATGACCTCTGTTGTTGTGCCAAGAGACCAGCAGCACATGATTTTACTTTTGCAGGCTTTGCAGGCTGACCATTGTTCACAGAGTAAATACCATGATTCTCTGTAGCCCTGTGGTGATTTTATTGTGTATAAAAAAAGCTGCAGACACAAAGGCATGTTCCTGAGCATCAAATACATAAAACAGCTTGAAAAATGTTGACATACGGGTTGTGAGTGGGACTATGAAGGTGAAATTTATGGTAAATGAAGGCTGTGGTGAAATAAAAAAAAACAACAACATAAAAACAGGAGACAAAAAAACACAAAGAAACCTTTTACATTTTTTGTGACATTGTTGCGCTGTGTAAAATGTACTGTAACTACAAAGAATGCTACAATTTCATATTGCCTTACCGAGCCTATTGAGAATGTTGTCATAACTTCCTTTCACACAGGGTTTGTGAACAGTCTGAACAGAATACAAATTACCGACTTATTCTTCAGGTATCTTATTCTATACCTTACAATTATTTTTAGGGTCACCAGTGTAAACACGGAGTGGTCACACGGTCACCACACAAAGTCAAAAAGCCACACCAATGAGAAATTTAGATCTTGGACTTGGGAAGGGCAAACAAAACAAAGTTCTAACCAACAACCCTCTTGCTGTAAGGTAACAGTGTTGCTGTACATGAAAAGTATACTTTGGAAAGTGAGCTAACTTTCTGTATTAAAGTGCAATATGGTAGCCTGAATGGTAGTTTAAAAGAAACTAAACGATTGTCTTCTCTACTGTTTCTTTCTGCAGCTTATAAAGTTCAGCTTCACCAAAAGGCTCTGAGTGTTGTTACAGATTCTCACCCAGCATCTCCACTCTTTGAGGAAGTGCCAAATTGATGGTAATATGGACAACTTAGTTTTTCACTCAGTGTTCCCTGAGGCTGTCGAGAGTGTTGAATGGTAACCGTCTGCCACTATATGTGAAATGTTGTTTTCACTCTTGCTTAGTCTCTTCTCTGCATTTATTTACTTCTTTCTGCTATTTTATGTATTTTTGTCTATTTTATGATGGCTGTCTAGAAATCCTGTGCTGAAAGGATCTGTTTGCACTGTGAGATTACCGAAGTAATGTCCTTATATATTTAGTTATAATGGAGATAAATTAAACTTAACTCACCTAAACTCAGTGTGCTAAACCATGCTTAATGTGATTTACACAAACACTTCCTCTCTGTGACAGTCAATTAAAATATCCATCATCACGACACAACCACTGATCACAGGTCACATGGTGGAAATAAAATTAAACTACAATATCAGCTCCTATCAGCATTGTTTTTAGGCAGATATTTTTTGAACAGGAAGCAATGTCTCTTTCTCAACCTTTCAACATCTTGGCCCAAAGTAGTCTGTCCAACTCAAAACAGCTCTTGAACAAGACATTTCTCATATCAATTCGGCTGCCCTTTTAAAACTCTTGTTCCAGTAGTGTGGCCTTTGTAGAGAATCAATAGAATGGGGTGATTTTTCAATCTTTCTTTTCAATCCAAACAGGAAAGAACCAAATAATGAATGTTATCAGTGGTTACTGAAAGGTAGAGGTGGCAGGAAATACCATTACTTCAGAATTTACGACAATCAGCGCTCAACTCAGCGGTCAAAACCTCTCATTATTTTCCTCCAAATGGGAAATGTAGGTGGACTTTTGCAAAACAACAAATGCATTCCAAATTAAGCTACAGATTGTCCCACAGAAATCCTGGACTGCATCTATAATACTTTTTGTTCCTGAAATACACATAATGACCAAAGTATGCATACCTACATACAGTACAGGCCAAAAGTTTGGACACACCTTCTCATTCAATGCGTTTTCTTTATTTTCATGACTATTTACATTGTAGATTCTCACTGAAGGCATCAAAACTATGAATGAACACATGTGGAGTTATGTACTTAACAAAAAAAGGTGAAATAACTGAAAACATGTTTTATATTCTAGTTTCTTCAAAATAGCCACCCTTTGCTCTGATTACTGCTTTGCACACTCTTGGCATTCTCTCCATGAGCTTCAAGAGGTAGTCACCTGAAATGGTTTCCACTTCACAGGTGTGCCTTATCAGGGTTAATTAGTGGAATTTCTTGCTTTATCAATGGGGTTGGGACCATCAGTTGTGTTGTGCAGAAGTCAGGTTAATACACAGCCGACAGCCCTATTGGACAACTGTTAAAATTCATATTATGGCAAGAACCAATCAGCTAACTAAAGAAAAACGAGTGGCCATCATTACTTTAAGAAATGAAGGTCAGTCAGTCCGGAAAATTGCAAAAACTTTAAATGTGTCCCCAAGTGGAGTCGCAAAAACCATCAAGCACTACAACGAAACTGGCACACATGAGGACCGACCCAGGAAAGGAAGACCAAGAGTCACCTCTGCTTCTGAGGATAAGTTCATCCGAGTCACCAGCCTCAGAAATCGCAAGTTAACAGCAGCTCAGATCAGAGACCAGATGAATGCCACACAGAGTTCTAGCAGCAGACCCATCTCTAGAACAACTGTTAAGAGGAGACTGCGCCAATCAGGCCTTCATGGTCAAATAGCTGCTAGGAAACCACTGCTAAGGAGAGGCAACAAGCAGAAGAGATTTGTTTGGGCCAAGAAACACAAGGAATGGACATTAGACCAGTGGAAATCTGTGCTTTGGTCTGATGAGTCCAAATTTGAGATCTTTGGTTCCAACCGCCGTGTCTTTGTGAGACGCAGAAAAGATGAACGGATGGATTCCACATGCCTGGTTCCCACTGTGAAGCATGGAGGAGGAGGTGTGATGGTGTGGGGGTGTTTTGCTGGTGACACTGTTGGGGATTTATTCAAAATTGAAGGCACACTGAACCAGCATGGCTACCACAGCATCCTGCAGCGACATGCCATCCCATCCGGTTTGCGTTTAGTTGGACGATCATTTATTTTTCAACAGGACAATGACCCCAAACACACCTCCAGGCTGTGTAAGGGCTATTTGACCAAGAAGGAGAGTGATGGAGTGCTGCGGCAGATGACCAGGCCTCCACAGTCACCGGACCTAAACCCAATCAAGATGGTTTGGGGTGAGCTGGACCGCAGAGTGAAGGCAAAGGGGCCAACAAGTGCTAAACACCTCTGGGAACTCCTTCAAGACTGTTGGAAAACCATTTCAGGTGACTACCTCTTGAAGCTCATGGAGAGAATGCCAAGAGTGTGCAAAGCAGTAATCAGAGCAAAGGGTGGCTATTTTGAAGAAACTAGAATATAAAACATGTTTTCAGTTATTTCACCTTTTTTTGTTAAGTACATAACTCCACATGTGTTCATTCATAGTTTTGATGCCTTCAGTGAGAATCTACAATGTAAATAATCATGGAAATAAAGAAAACGCATTGAATGAGAAGGTGTGTCCAAACTTTTGGCCTGTACTGTACTTTAATGTACATTTGGTCTGTTTTTTATGGTCTGGGCCACTATGTTCCACTTAAGGGAAATCTTAGCATTATAATCCCCCCATGTGCAAAGTGATGTCCATATAGAAATGTTTTTCAGAGTTGGGTATGAAAGAACATTACTGGACTTTACAGGGTCCTGACCTCAACCCCTACACCTATGGAAAAGCCAGCTGCGAGCCGACCACACTGGGAGCAAATCCCTGCAGCCAGGTTCCTAAATCATGTGGAAAGCCCTCCCCAGAAGAGTGGAGCCCTTTATAGCAGCATATTAGTATCCATGGTTATGGAATGAAAAGATTAACAAGTACATATGGGTGTAATATTCAATGTCCACATACTTGTGGCCATTAAGTGTACCAGATATTACAACTTTTAAATGAGATGTTCCTCTTATAAAAATTTATTCAGAGTTCTTCTGCCAATTAAATCATGCATATTCACGTAATTAGATTTATCTGATGATTCAAATGTCACCACAATTAAGCAATAATTATACTGGCCCAAAGTTCTCTTTTTGAGTCTTCTCAAGTTCAATCTTCAGACTTATCAACCTTTTTGACCTTTTGGTGTAAAAGAAGGACTGCATTTAGGCACAGTATGGCTTGCTCTCTCACCTTGCATCTGCTAGCGCTGCCCTGACAATCGCCCACACTGCCACAAAAACGGCTGGAACACCTGAAATTAACAGACAAACAACAAACAATGAGCTGTGCTGATTTCACAAAATTTGTTTACCTGATTCAAGGTCTTGGTCACATTTCATTTCTTATTCATGATATTAAGGAAGTGGTGGTACAATGTAATTAGACATTCGAAGTCAACAGCTACACCCTTTTTAGTCACATGACTCACTTTAATGGGCAGCGTCCATCAAAGAACCAGACTCTTGGATGAGCATTAACTCCCTTAAGGGGTGTATGGAAATCACTGGATAGTGTGTAGAGAAGCTTAGAGTTCATTTTCACTTTTTAAAGCAACAAGGCCCTCCCCAAAGCAAGTACTGTTGTCCTTGGATAGAGACTCACATTACTTAATGCTGACATATTCGTCCTGTTACCTAGTAGTTAAATGTGATGGTAGAAAATAAAACCTTGACACAGTAACATGATCCTCTGTATATTTCAATGGCCCTTAATATATTTTGTAGTGTTCCTTCAGGGCACCACATGAAGCAACTTTAACTTTCGTAACAAGTATATACAAAAACGGGGCGATGGTGGCTTAGTGGTAGAGCAGGCGCCCCATGTACAAGGCTGTTGCTGCAGCGGCCCAGGTTCGACTCCAGCCTGTGGCCCCTTGCTGCATGTCACTCCTTCTCTCTCTCCCCCCTTCACGCTTGTCTGTCCTATCAAATAAAGGCTAAAAATGCCCCAAAAGATATCTTAAAGAAGTATATACACAAACCATAGAGAGTGAGACAAAGGCTCTCACCATGATCCCACCCATTGTTTTCTATTTAATTCCACACATTGGCAGCATATTGGCAGGAATCACCCTCCCCGTCCAATCCACCAGCACTGATGTGCGTCAACTCTCCAGAGAAGCAATAATTTCCTATCTTTTGCAACGAGGAAGAGCAAATCCAAGCTGCTGTGTCTTGACACATTGGGGCTTGGGACTTATTCAATAAAACCAGCACACAAAGAGTTGTCTAAACTTTCAGAAGCCTAGAAACACAACTTCCTAAATATACGTATAATTAGATTGATAGTTTCTCTAAATTGTGTGGGTCACTATTAGTTTAACCTCCACTTCACTTTCATTCCATCAATTTGTTCAGTGCAGGAACTTGTCAAACCCAGTGTTACAGCCTGTTCTCTGGATCAATTCTGAATGTGTTAAGACTATGTTTAGATTTGCTTATCTCATTGAAACAACAAATAATGCACTTCAGAAAGCCAAAGCATATGGTGCCCTTAGGCAATTTTAAGAATGAGCACTCAAATGGCTTTATAAAAAAGCAGTGCAAAGATTAAATCAATCTTGTGGAGACAAAAGGGCATTGTGGAGAAATGATGTATCCATATAACTAAATGTGACCCACTACAACAACTAGCCTATTAAATGAGACTTCATATTTACCAGGGCTCAGCTCAGCTGGTACCATGCGTTAGACTGGTATGCTGGACAGACATTCAATTTTGATTGGAAAGAAAATTGGGTTGACGATATTTTAAATGTCAAATGACGATAGAATTTCAGGATGTGTGGATGTTAACATTATGTTTGCACACTTTGGGTTTTGTTCTCCATAGCTTACAACTAAATGCTATTATTCTATGTCAAGATGACATTGGCATGAGAAATCTGGAAGACAGATTTTGGTTACTTAAAGGTATAATATGTAGTTTTTCCACATAAAAATGTCTAAAAACGACTAAACCAATATTATATATTTTGTTTAGTTGTGTATTTTGATTATCATAAATGTTTCCAACAATTTTTCAAACCCAGATAAATATGAAATATTAAAAGTTACGGACTGTGTCATTAGGTCGCATGTCAATGGCGACATAACTCCAGTTACCACAGCCATTAAATGAAGGTGAAGAAGAAGAAGCAGACTGGATGAGACGTCAGAGAATGAACGTTACTGTTGCTAGGCTAAGCTAACTCGTCATGGATCATGATTATGCACTGACGGTTGCTGCACCTTCTGACACCGAAGTTGTCCGGTAAACAAGCCGGTAAAACGGAAACGTACGGGTCAACCAAGCGATCCCAGAAGAATTTGGGATAAGAAGAGAGCTAAATCCAGGATAAATATTGGTGTGACCTTTCCGAGATGGAGAGAGCTTCGTGAAAATCTAGGACTACAATTCGACGCCGACCTCATGTGTGTTCTACTAGATAGGTAAGCAAACATCTGGCTGATGTTATTGAAATATTAATAATTTCCACCAGTGTATTGCAAGCACTGCTGCCCGCCGGGGCACCTGCCCGCCGGGGCACCAGCGCTCCGGCCAGCAGCCTCCGTTGTGGCTAACCACAACATCTAATGATAGGTTTCGAAAATGCTGAGCTGATGCCGGTAAATGAACTGCATTTATAAAAGAGGCAGAGGAATAGCTAAACATAAGACGCACTGAGCAAGAGAGAGCAGCAGAGAGGGAGAAGCCATCACTAACTGTAAAGCTAAATAAAATCTGTATCTGTTATATGACTACAACTCCCATGATCCCACGCTACTTCGTGACGTCATCCAACTCCGTCTTCTGTTATTGTTTTGGTTTGAGACCCCTAACGGCAGAAAACTACATATTGCACGTTTAACAACACAACTTACAACCAACAAAATATCAGTGTCGATGTCTGTCATCAGTATTCCACATCAAAATGACATTGGCATTCAACGTTGTCCTGACACTGAATTTTGGTAACCCGATGTCACAACCTTAATTCAACCAAATTTTATGAATGTCTAATGACTGGTGGTGTTAAGAATAAGGGTTGCAAGATTTCCCAGGGCAACTAAAAACTTACGTCAGGCTAGTAAGTCTAGCAACCCCACTTGCCTGCTCAGGTAAGTGGTAAAAAACAATTAAACACATCATTTTAATGGTGCTGATGATGAGGGTAGGTAAGGAGCAAGAGACACACATGAGCAGTGCTGATTGGGCACTCGCAAAACATTTATTAGCTGAAGCAGGGGTCGCATTAACCGGATATTCTCGGTCACTGACCGTTTTTTTACAACAATGACCGGAAAATCTGAAGGCCGTCGGTCATTTGACCGGTTGCAATTACCATCCCTGCCCACTTGGCAGCGGAGTGCACAGTCAGTGGTTTAAGTGGCTGCTGTTTTCACACTGCAGAGAAACAGTCATTCATCTGCTTCATGTAGCGTTGTTGACATAACGCCCTGGACACACCGGATGTGGAACCGAGCACAGCGCCCAGCAGCGGAGGCAGTTTTCAGTCAGCGCCCATGTTAACCTATCTGACTGTCCACACAGGCCGCTGAGCAGAGCGGAGTGCCCGCGGAGGCAGCGCTTCAGTTCGGCGTCTGGTCTATTTTTCACGGGAGCCGCGAGCACTTCTGTCAAGCTGGATCGAGCGGATCGTACCAAACAGGAAGTCGGACACAGAAAAGACGAGAGAATCCGGCCAATTTTCAAAATAAAATAACGGCACGCACTGAGTGAGGAACGTGAGGAGAAAATACCCTGTTTATAATTTAAAATAACATAACAGTGCATAACCGAACACATTTTTCAATACCCTAATACTCTAATCATTACAATTTTAATTTTGCGTCACCGAGCCTGCAGACATAACTACATAATGCCCTGGACACACTGGACGCGTTAGTGTCGTCCGGTGTGTCCAGGGCGAAGCCTAATGGCACGGGTGTGTGGATGTCTGTTCATCTTTTCGTTCATGTCCTTATTAATGCACACTTTATAACTTGCTTGTTGGATTTATTAAAAACGAACGAATGAAAACTAAATGTCTTTAAATAGCCTATCTTTATTGTCATTTAAAAACGAAAATTAAAATGACCGGTAAAAAAAGATTATGACCGGATTTTTATAACCCTGTCGGTCAAAATGACCGGCGATGAAAAAGTCTAGCGCAGGGGTCGGCCGCATGCGGCTCTTTCATGCCTCTGCCCTGGCTCCCTTTGGCTTTGAAACAAAATGTCAATAAATAATGGCTATTTAATTTTAATTTCTGATGAAAATAGAACATTTAATGCTTCATGGACAGATTCATTTGCTTTCACTGTTGACGAGGTTGGTTCACCTATGTGCTTAATATGTGGGGAGAAAATAGCAAACAACAAAAAATCAAATGTTGAAAGACATTTCCAGAACAAACACACAGCATTCACGGAAAAATACCCAGCTGGAGATGACCGAAAAAGAGCAGTTTAGGAACTGCTGCAAAAAGCTGATCAGAGCAAAAATACTTTTAAGAGGTGGATGAAGTCTACAAATTCAAGTACTTCAGCTAGATTTGTAGCAGCTCAGGAGATCGCCAGGCACGGGAAGCCGTTCACAGATGGAGAATATTTAAAAGAATCGTTCATCAAGATATCAGAACATCTATTCTCAGACTTCAAAAACAAGAGTGAAATTGTTCAGAAAATTAAAGATATGCCTCTCTCTGCAAAGACTGTCAAGGACAGGACCACAAAAATGGCAGCAAACATCACCAGTCAACAAGTTAAGGATATTAATTCGGCTCCAGCGTACTCAATTGCCTGTGATGAGTCAAAAGATGTCAGAGATATTGAACAAGTTGCGCTACTATGCAGATATGTGAACTCTGCTGGGCCACAGGAGGAAATAATTGAGTTGATACCACTTAAAGGCCAAACACGGAGGGAGGACATCTGTGAGGCTGTGTTGGATTGTTTAAAAACCAAAGAAATAAACACCAACCACCTGGTTTCAGTGGCTACTGATGGAGCACCAAGTATGACAGGAGCACAGAAGGGGTGTGTGAGTTTACTCCAGAAGTCGCTGGATAGAAAGCCGTTTCACTGCATCCTGCATCAAGAGGCATTGTGTGCTCAAACATTCCCTGCGGACTGCACAGAGGTGATGAATCTTGTCATTCAGACAGTGAACAAAATAATGGCAAAAGGATTAAGCCACCGACAGTTCCGTTCATTATTGGAAGAAGTTGAAAGCACATATTCCAATCTCCTGCTGCACAACAGAGTCTGG